AATGCGCAGACACTTATAGAAAGAGTGAGTTATGCTGTTCTCAAGAGCAAACGGGAGTAAATGCAAACCAAACCGTCAGTCAGAGCAGGGCAGAGTATGATTTTAAGCAAGTGGCGGAAGAGATAAGCAAAGTGTTAAGCGAATAATGCTTAAATGGTTGAAGGAGCTTCTATCTCGTAGACCGCGATCATCTTCCATGACTGGATTGCACAGACTTTTTTGGAATCAGCAAATTTTGCGGGAAAAGAAATCGACCTCTCAAACGTTGTGCAACGTCTCCGAGCACGTTGGATTCTCCGATCGAGCCGAATTTGGAATTCNACTTGAGCCTTTCCCCGGGGTTTCGAGCCACTGCATTAGCCGGGGAATACGTTTCCACAGATTTTTTTGCCACTTCTTAAGGGTGGTTTTAATTTTGTGATTTTTCGTATCTGGCTTGGCACATGTTTTAGTCTAAGAACATATGATGGTTTTTTGCTATAGCTATGGTATTGATGTGACTTAACTAGGATACATCTACATCAGATGACTGTCTGACGCACCCTAAATAAACTTTTCACATTGAATGTCTCGTGTTACTGAAAGTCAGAATAGCTCATGGTACCATGTGAAAGAAGCGCTTAAGAGGTTTTCGAAGGTTTTATTAAATATGATTACTCAAAGCGTAGGAATATTTATTTGATCTACAAACTCAAGAGTTGAACTATTTCCTTTTTTCCATCACTGACTTTGACAGTGAAAGAGACTGTTGCAGTAACCGGCTAGAACCGTTTTTGTCTTTTTTTGGCTTTCAAAAAATGCGCAGACACTTATAGAAAGAGTGAGTTATGCTGTTCTCAAGAGCAAACGGGAGTAAATGCAAACCAAACCGTCAGTCAGAGCGGGGCAGAGTATGATTTTAAGCAAGTGGCGGAAGAGATAAGCAAAGTGTTAAGCGAATAATGCTTAAATGGTTGAAGCAGCTTCTATCTCGTAGACCGCGATGATCTTCCATGACTGGATTGCACAGACTTTTTTGGAATCAGCAAATTTTGCGGGAAAAGAAATCGACCTCTCAAACGTTGTGCAACGTCTCCGAGCACGTTGGATTCTCCGATCGAGCCGAATTTGGAATTCATACAAAAGAACAGGAGGAAAAAACAAAACAAAATCGTAAATCTCATTTTACGACTTATATACTTGTGACATCAGATACAGCTAAAAAGGTCGTACTCCAGAAGCACTCGTTTGAAGAACGCATTAAAAACTACTTAACCCGCTTTGAAAGGTAAAAGTACTCAAAGTTAGAATGAGGAAAATGCCACAATTCTTTAATCTGCATATTCCTTAAAACAGAACAGAACCAGGAAAACTGTCTATCAAAAAAGGTTCCATATGGATGGTGATACCATGAAGTAGCTATCGCCTGCTTAAAACTTAGAACTACATTAATATTTGGCGTATTATGATAAGCAGTTGGATGAAGGTAAACAAGTCAGTACAAATAAGGCGCTTTCCGGCACGAAATACGGGTGTCTCGTGACTAAGTATATTACTAATGGAATTTAATCTTTATTTCCGTATTAGCGTTTAAAATCTCCAGGTGGGGCGTTACAAAGTTTCAAGCTTTAAGTAGTAAGCTAAGCCTTTCTCGTTATCTGTATTCCAATAGTGATCTCTATCGGATGAACCACCTGTCAGCAAATTGGTTATGCTAGACCGTCCGGGCGCTGTCCACAGTTCAAAAAAGTGTTTGCAGAATTTATAGTATACTGTAGTAGATACATGAGCCAAGGATGTTTAAAATGGGATCAAAACCTAATTTGAACACTAGCTCTATCAGTAACTTCCTTTCCAATTCTCGGTTTTGTTCTCACTTTTCGTTTTCCCGTTTCCCGTTCCCCGTTCCCCGCTCTCCGTTTTAGTAACATCCCCTGACCAAAAAGTCGTCTTGCGCCAGCGTGTTTCGAGGGAGCTTCTTTTACTTTTATTTTTCGAATTTTTTTGAAAAAGTTTTTCATTCCTAAAGAGTTAAGAACAAAATTAAGAAAGTTCCAAATTCAGTACGTGTATAAACAATGGAAATGACTATTACCATATGAGGGTACCGCCAGAGAAGTTTGAAGTGATTCGTCTCACATTAAAACGTTCTCTCGGATGCGTTTGGTTGCGTCTGAATGTTGTTCAGTACAACCTTGTTCCGCGTTCTCTCCTCCTCATCCCTGCTGCCTCTCTGGCTCCGCAGGGGAGAGAAGGATAGGACCGTTGGGACGAGGTTGTCTTTCTGTTCGTGTTACCTTGTTTTTCTCTTACGATAAACAAAGGGCAGATTTCCTTGGGAGATAATACCTGTTCATTCGACCTTTGGAATCTGCCATGGCTCTTTGCCCCAATAATCTTGTTCTCAGCTAAATCTTATTTAAAAGGACAAAGTTTTATAGGAGTGTAACCCGAGATAAGTATCGCACTTGTTTAAGCTTTTTATTATGATCACAATATTATTCTAATGGGTATCAAATGCTAGAATATTCTCATCTTAAACAGTCCCTATGTGGTCCCTATACCGTGACCTCCAATGTTTATTTAGAGGCTTAATTGAGAGAAAATCATGATGCATCGATTTTTCAAGACCATACACTCATTTGATTACACGGAAACATTTTGTTTTCCATTTTTCTAACACTAAAATCGAAAAATTGTTTGTTTGTTTTGAAAATTCTTATCGTATAGTCGTCCTTTGTTTGAAGAAGAAAAGATACAAGTAAAATAGGAAATTTATCGAGTTGCATGCGCGGTGGAGAATAGTACTAATTTTTTGTCACAATCCGGAACTTAGGCTTTAACAGTGAGCCATTAGCATGAGATTATCGCGAAACCCAAGGGAGGTCCACTGTTAACTTGTCAACTATGGCTCTAAGATTAGAAGGTGTAAAAGCAAACTTTAAGTACTGTGTGCCTCCCGCAACGTTGTTCGGTAGTTCTCTTACATCCTAGCTAGCAAGGCTCGATTAATTGCTCTTAAACTAGATGCAACAATTCAAAAGGTTGACTGTTTACTACTCGCGGAAGTTATGACTTGTTTTATGCCTCCCGCAACGGTGTTCTGTAGTTCTCTTACATCCTAGCTAGTAAGGCTCGATTAATTGCTCTTAAACTAGATGCAACAATTCAAAAGGTTGACTGTTTACTACTTGCGGAAGTTATGACTTGTTTATAACGTGGAAGGGGTGGAATAAAACAACTATTGGTACCAGATAGAGTGTTACTGTAATCTGTTCCACACGATGTTATTTTATGACAAATCCATTGACTCCTTTGGCATAATTGAAATTTTATATCGGGATAAAGTTTTCTGGCGTATTGTGAATAACAGCTTTAGAAATAGTGACAAATAAAGGTAATCGGGTAGAATGTTTAAGCAATAGGCCACACTTTCTATGGGTTTACCGGCGTGATAACCCACGCGGGATGTTAGGAGAACACGAGAAATTCGGCTCGAGATTTACAAGCGAGTGAAGGCGAGTGATTCACATACTTTTCCCAAGTAGGTTATCACGCCGGTAAACCCATAGAAGGTGTGGTCTATTGCTTTTAAGAAATAACTTTAAGTTTTCTATGAGTTTACCTGCACAATAAACCATAAGTTTTTAACCAATCAGAACGCGCGTACTGTTTTAGTTATTTTATAAAGTGTAATAACTGCTATCTCCATTAATGTAATTGTTGTTGTTGTTGTATTCTTTTTTCATATGTAGGAATGGGATCACTGGACGCGCTAGAACATAGATCAAGCCAAAGCCGCTACTTTGTCGAAACCCACCGGATGAAAGTTGCCCAGGGCGTGTCGGGAACCGTACCAGATAAGGGTAGTATCCATCGTTTTCTCCCATACCTCTATGCGGGCATACAGCACGGCTGTCAAGATATGGGTACTCAGAGTCTCTCCGCAACGCGGTCTATGATGTACAGCGGTAAACTTAAGTTTGAGAAGCGGACCCCCTCGGCGCAAGCTGAGGGTGGCGTTCATGGCCTACATTCGTACGAGAAAAGGCTTTATTAACTGTCCGACTCAGTAAAAAGCCGAACCTAACTTCTCAACATTAAGTGCAAGAGGAAAGAAACCTAAATCACTTGCCACTCCAAGAGATGCTGCACACCAGTTGCAAAACGAATCTTCGGATTTTTGCTTCATTTTTTGCATGGAGTGGCTTTTAACTTTATACAGAGAGTGGCTGAAAACTTGAAAGGATTAATTCTGCGCGTGCGCTTGTTTAGACTGAATAGAACCGCTGGTCGGAGTGACTTTCTTAAACTGAGAGCTTGATTGAGTGAGTGTGCATAATTTGCTAAGAAGGTTTGTTTTTTATTTGATAAACATAAAATTGTTTGTGTGATTTTCTGTGTGAGCTGCAACCTGTTATCGCTGATTGGCAAACGCTTTTCTCTTTTTTCAGTATTTTATTTATTTATTTTTTCGTTTTCTTTTACCATTTTTCAAATCGACATCAACAGAATCAGTCCTCCCAGGGCTGCGGGTTACACTTACTTTGGTATTTGGTCTATTTGCATTTAAAGCCTGATATTTTTCTAGTCAGTTCTTTAAAAAAATACCTTGAACGTAACAAACCAAATATACTTTACAAGCCATTTCTGGCGATCGGAACTTAGCTAACCTGCGTAGCATGGCGGTTTTGTCGAACGCACTACTGAATAGCGCGCGCCCAGCCGAAAAACCGCCATGCTACGCAGGCTAGAAATTAGCTTGTGTTTTATTCAAGTGGAAATATAAAATCATCGCTGTAAAGGAAAAGTTATGCGTGAATAAAAGTTTTACTGTTTGCATTCATTTTCAAATATGTGAATATTTTTTCGTGGACTATAGGAGATCATATTTAACTATTGCTTGATATTTGTCGGTTAGGCCTGCCATGCCTTAATTACATTTTCGTTTTGTTTTATGTTTGTTGTTTGGCGTTTGATGTTTTAAAAACTCGATTGAGCACTTCAGGCCCTCTTAACAGTTGGAACAGACCGTAGACACGCTGCCAGTTGATGCTGCCTTTTCTGCTTAAACTTGAAAACTGTCCTTACCATTTGCGTTAATTAATGTGCTGTTAAGTCAACAATAAGTCAAATTTAAAAGCATGGAAACAGGACTAGACTTTCCCAAAGTCCTTTGCTTCTCATCTCCTGTTCCGGTATTTGGCCCAACCGCTCGCGCTTCGCGCTCGTGAAAATTCTGAGCTCGACTTGTAGGCAAGTCTAAACCAGGACTTACGGGCTTTTTAAGACTGGGGTATCCCCTACAATTATAGAATTCCTAGTGTTTTCCCCCTTATTTTAAGGTAACCTTAAATAAATTTTTTGTATAGTATACAGTTATTCCTCAGCGAAAGCCTGTTTTCGTCTACTCGAAGGGTATTTTTTCTTCGCAATGGCCATCACATCACTCTGAAGTCGAGTGGACTCCAGCCAATCAGATTATCAGTTGGTTCCCACGGGCATGTTTATATCGCAAGGATTATGTACTACCCGGCTTATTTTTTGAAAGCGAGCGACCGAGTAAGAGAATTGGAGGGCGCTGCTGAACATACGAGTAGCTATTCGAGCTGAATGATCTTGTTTTGATGTAAAACGTGGGCTACGTCCTTTCGAAGCTAAGCAGCTCTTCAATATTAGGGGTGTGTCATTAAATTACTAAAACCAGTCGTAGCTAGAACCTCCCGCTAATCACAAAATTTGTCAGTGAGATCCCTTCCAATTAAAATTAAATTCAAAAGTAAATAATTACGTAACGCTCATGTTTACTGTTATTACAAAAATACCATGTCAAACAGTCTATTTTTTGTTTATTAATCGTCACACTTTTTTCTGTACAACAAATGTTTCTCTTTTACGGCAACCTGCACCGACCATAAAGCAAAGGCTTATTTAAAACAACAAACCCTAACCTAACATGGGATTGTATCAATGTCCTATCCTTTGAAACTTCAAAGCCTTTACGGGACATTTCCCATTATTACAACAATTTCAAAATTAAACGGAACAAGTTAAAGTAAAATTATAAATAATTCTCACACAATTTCAATGGCACGCCAGGCGCATAACTCTATTATAGACTCGTGTCTCTAAATATCTATGGAAAATAGAAAAGCGTTTTTAACGCTTCGATTCTGATCTATTTGGCGTCAGACTACGTTTAAGTCAGTTCACACTTTTGACTGCTTTATGGGTAACCAGGGCAAGACAGCCTGAATTCAAAGTTGCTACTCAAAAATAAAGCTAAATAGCCTTTCCCAAATTATCAAATTTGAGACTCACATTTGAAGTGAATTCAAAGATACAACTCACTGAATTCTTTGAATTTCGTCAGCTCAAAAGGTTTCTGAGCGAAGCACGTTCCAAATAATGGCAAGGTCTTCGTTGCCATACCTTACTTTTTTAAAAAAAATGTTTTGTTGTTGTTGTTGTTTTTTTAATTTAATTCGTTTTTTTGTGTTTTTTTATTAATGCAAAACAAAATTTAAACCAGTCGTTGTAAGAGCGTATTTGGCTTTAAATATTGCACCATTTTACCTTTGTTACCCACCGTTCACTGAGAACTTAAACTGACCCACCTTTTTCAGATAGTAGAGCGCGTGGAATGTTCCCGCGTTGCGCGCATGCGTCTTGTCGCCAGAGGCAAAATTCCGCGCGCCCTTCTATCTCTGAAATAATCCTAGAGTACATCTAAAACGGCAAATTTATAAATCTCTTTTTTGTTATCATATAATAAAGTATTTCACAGACGATTCTTCTACGAAGTCCAAGCAAACTGTAACAGTCTACTAGTATCTAAAAAAGGGAGAATAAAGATTTTATCATCCCATATAGTTTTGCGCCTTCAAAAGGGCAAATTTTTAAAATAATCACCTCTTCCTTCTTCTGCCTTTCCACACTTGTTCAAAAAACTAATTCAGCTGAAAACCCTAGGTATCAAAATCAGTTGGACATCAGTTGGACATGCGTATTTCAACACAAAAAAAAACTGTTCACTCCTACGTGATGCTCAAAGTTTTAATTGGAATGCGAGCGGAAATTCCGCTAGAGATTTAACCGCGTGCTCTTGACCTATTGTAGGTAATACTAACGAGCCTCAATTGGCATAACGCCTAGAGCTATGTATATTGACAGACCGGATTACGCTTTGAAACACGTGAAGCACACATTGTGAGGATGATTCAGGACATTTTTAGGTGAGCTTAAATACTACATCATTTGCACTTTCATGCCAACAACTGCGACATGATCGATTTAAATGACTGCTACCCGGGAAGCGAGAATCTTTTGTAATTGGTGATAATTGGTTTAGGAAAACCTTCGTCGTGTAACGGAATCCAAAGGAATGTTCGAGTTCGAAGATAAGGAAACTATGTCAATTGAGTCTTGATCTCACGTACGTAGAGTTAGTGATGATAGAGGCGGAAATACGAAGTTTGCGGTCCAACATTCCCCGACATCTCCGCTTTGCGGGGTCTCGGGTCGGTCCGGCGGCTTGTCTGGGCAGCAGACAAACCTTTTGAATTGTCGTAAAGGTTTTGCGACTCTTCATACCACGAAGGCTTTGAGTCCTTTGAGTTTTTTTAATAAATTAAGGCTCGTGCGCGCGATGGGAAGAAAAGATTAAGTTACAGGAAAACGGTGTTCAGATATATCACGTCTGTGAGCAAAAATGATAAACTTTAGTTCGAGCCGTTTTCTTGGATTTCTAAGTTTTCAACGAGTTTCTTTATTTGCGCCACGATTTTCAGTGCAGGACCAAGCCTTATCGACATCCTGTTCAATAAATGATCCTCTTGCACTAAGACAAGTGCATGTCCGTCTATGTGTTCTTCTCTAAACGCATGCGCAATATCCTGGGAACCAGTAAGAGAGGATATGAAATGACAGACGTCATCAACACTCCATTCCAGGACATTTTCGCTCAAGTTCGGCCGAAAGCGAGGTACTACTTTGTGAGGTGAAACTCGCGAAGAAAGCTCTTTCCCATTTGGAGAAGCCTTAGGTGTAGCGAATGGGCTATGCCTTTCGTTGGAACCCGTGGAAACATCGGGACTTCTTCCCGCCACGAAGTCGCCGTCGGAAACCGAAGGATGCGTAGTATGGTTGCAGTTGTGGGTTTCGGTTTCTTTCGTATGATAGCCATCCTTGTCCTCGTGTTTCTCTTCCTCCGCGTGCGTGGTTCGAGAACTTGTTAAGTTTTTATTCTCTTCCACTTGACCGTTGATTATTGTATTGTTCTTAGGCGAAGAAGACCTGGATGAACGATGCATTGTCAACGAAGCATGTGTGACCGGAAGGCCCTGGAGACCAGCCCGAGCTGCGGCTGCTGCGGCCGCAAAGGACGATTGTAGTGGAATGTTCTGCGCCAGTGGACTGTGCGGGTTTGGAGGAGAGAGAAGTCTGTAGTGCATTAGACTCTGATGCAAAGCAGCTGGCGGAACTCCAGATAAGCTACCCCTCAATTGATGGTAGATGCTTGAACCATGCGGAGAAGCTAATAACAGGGGATCTGGTAAAAGTCTCGGGGAGGGATGAGAGGAGCTGATAAGAGGGGAGGGGCTGGGAAGTTGAGTGAATGGGTTGAAGGAGGTTGGCTGACAGTTGACTGATGGTGGCTTTTGTTGTTGTTGTTTGGAGTTCTTTGTTTCTCTTGAGGCAAGCTCTCGCTGAAGGGCTTCGGCGTTGTAAACGTTTTCACCGGCCATTTCACTGTGTGAATTTAGTGCATCTAGGGAAATTCAAAAAAAGACAAACAGTTACTTTACATGGACGTGAAACGCATTTAAGGTCTGTACTACCTAAGGCAGGAAAGTCCATTAACAAGTGCTTCGCTTTAGTTTTCTTTTGACTGGGACAATTATCGGGATTTTATTCACAAAGTAAAAACACAAAACCACGCTACTTAACTTCAATTTTTATCCTGGTCATAGTTCCTGGTAAAGTGCTTTGTGTTTGGTAGAGTTAACGAAACTCAATATTTAAGCTGATGCCTGTGGAACTACCGCTACCAACCTCCACCTCTTCCCTTTTAAAATTAATTGTACTTCAATATTTATTGCTGGGAATACACCTCCTTAGCTTGTGTGCTATGTTTTCTCAGTGAAAGTGCCCCTTTATCTTTTCACAAATTATGCGTACATATGCACGTAAATAAAACAAAATTTGAATGAAACAGTTCTCTAGAGTATTAGCACGTGACCTACATAAGGAAAACAAAACATGCAAGCTAAAGAGGTCTATCAATAGTGCTCCAAGACATATAAGACCCTTCTGAGGTGGGTGCAAGGAATGACTCACCCTGATGCACCGCTCTGAAAGCGCTCCTGCTCCCTGGAGGTCCACCAGAGGATCCTCCTGTTTCGTGGGGGCCGCGATGATGATTAGTCAGATCAAGGGATGCTGAATCTTTACGCGACATCTTGGACACCTCCGCTGCCGCCGATACAGACGTGTATTCCGATGGAAGATCTCTGAAGAAAAACGTGCTTCTTGGGTCAAACTGAAATCTATCGGCTGATAAACGAGAAAATCAAGTTATAAGATGATTGCACGTGCTCTGCAGAGGTCCAGTATCAAATATTTAATGTATTAAATGGTACGGTGAACTCTGTCAATCCCAGAGCTTAGGTGACAAGTTATAAAGTTCTGATTACCTTTGCACCGAATCCATAGAATATTTGACGCTCATTCATTCAACCTTAACTTTGCAATTACAGTTTCACATGCAATCATTTTGCTTCAGTGTTTTGCGATGCATGATTTCACAAAGGTTTTAAGACTTTCAATTAGCAAGTTGTTTCATCAACTAAAGAACGTCCCCGCGACCATCGTTCTCAACATTCGAAGAACTAATTTCCAAGCCGTTATAAAAGTACTGAATTTTCTGAAGAACTTCCGAGAGTTTAGAACTTCGTCTGAGTTCGCAATATCCACCTTTCAAGCTTCCCTTGGGACGTGACTCGTGTCCAAGACGTGATCAAACTCGACCACGATTAATTTTTTTTTCTGATATTTAGAATGAGAGATTTTCTGAAGTACCTGTTTCTCTAAGCTATCCGTTTATCTCGGAGCAACCATTCATCATGTGCGGGGAAATTGCGGTCCTCGAGATAAATCGACAATTTCATAAAACTTGAAATCACTGTACAAAACATATCGTACTAACAGCGTGACACATTGGAAAGAGAACGATGTGTGCGCAACTTTTAATATCAGTAACACCATTAAGTTTTCCTCTTTTACACCAGAGTCAGGCACACCATACAGCGATTGTAGCCTTAACAGCACCACATGAAAGTAGGGATCAGTTATATTCATACTATATCATCTGCACACAAAAAATTCATGCAATGGAGAAAGGTTGAGAGAGACCTCTGGCTTTCAACGAAACGTCTCTTCCCTGAAGCGAAAACTGCAGATTTAATTAACATTCCACTGATACAGAGCATCAGAAACATTAGCAGAATGAAGCTCTGCTCTGAATACCCACAAGATCGAGTGCACCGATAAAAACCTTTAGAAACACTCGGAACTGTGCAAAATAAACCGCACCACAGGAAAGTTCTGCCCAGTATCAGAGTAGCGGAAGCTTGAACCTTAGCGATCGTTAATAGAACTGAATTCATCCACGGATTAGAAATTTAGACCAGTGACTAACTTTTGAACCATAAATAATGACCGCTCAGGGACCGAGAATTGATCAAGAGCTTTCATTCACTTGAATTGCCACACCAAAAAGTCATCTACACACTCACTCATCAAAAGAACCACCTTCACCTACACCACCTTGTATAGCACGAGCACACTCCATTATAAAACAGCACCACAGGAAGGTACTGCCCAGTTGAGTAGCTTTCGTCTGATTGATCAAATTTTGGAGATTTAGTCATCCGCTTTTTAAATTTAGAGCACTACTATGCAGCATAATATAATGAACGCAGCTCCATAAAAAAATTCCCATTCAATAATCTGTATTTGAAAGCTAAAGCCACACATATACATCCTATGTACTTACCGGTGGAATAAAAAAACAGCAGTAAAGTAAAAGATTCAAAGATCTACTAAAGAAAAGAATCACTTTGTACAACATAAAAAAATCAAACGTAAAGTATTGCTCTTTAGTCTGTGCATGAATACCACCTAAGGAGTGCATATACATTTGCGGAACTGCTACTTCTAAGGAAAACTTAACGACAGAGAGGCGATCATCTGCAGCCACTTGTACAATCTATTATTAAGTTAAAATAATACTAGTTCACTTGTTTTAATATTTCCTGTGGCCTTCTTGCAATGCTCAGCTTGCAGAAGACAGAACCTCTGTCGACATATTAGCGCCATGTTCACATCTTTTCGTTTTAAACTTTTCTTTCAAAAACCTCTTAATTATATTTATCCCGCAGACGATTAATAAAACCAAGGAGGCGAACGTTATGAGCGTCCAAAATACTAGACATGGTCACGCTGGCAAATACAGACTCGAGCTCACTAACTGATTTCCTGCGGAGAATGAGCGCATATTGAAGAAGAGGGGTCGATGTGTGACGACTCAACGTAGCCCGATTAGGATAAAACTTATCACGAAACAACGAGATTTTTACCCATATGCATCAGCGTCTTAACGAGGTAAATAAAGTTGTCATTTCTTTACAGTTGAATGGGTTAGGGAAAAAATGACAAAAACGGAGTTTTACGTTTTGCATGCAACCTCCGTCTTGCTCGCAGTGGTATTCAAAACGATTTCCGTACTCAAAGAATATCCGGAAAATGGTCTTAACTTAGAAGCATGCAGCGACGAGTTTAATCTTAAAGTCGCACGAAAAAGAAATTGAAATTAAAACGAGTCAGTATCAGACCCCAAGTGAAAACCTTTTAAAGACAGTCAGTAGAAAGAACTATCTAGACTTTTTTCTTTTTTAGCGTGCTGTGACGTCACGAATTTTCTCACGTAGTCACTGGAAGTGTTTCGCGCTCGCAGCCATTGCACTACGGAGCGTCCAATAAACCAACTACAAGGAATCTCTATTTGCGGTCCTCAACGTTTTTAGTTGTAGCCATAAATCAACTTAAAAATAAACTAACATATCTCAGAATTCTGAACATGTCAAAACTTGGTGCTCGCGTTCAAGCAAAGAGCGGTAAATTGGGCTTGACGACACTTCGAAAAGAACAAGATTTCCTGAAGTCACCCGAACTGACTTAATTCCTAGAACTTGTATCAGTTATTGACCAAAGCTATCAGAAGTCTTGAAAACATAACAGGCAGAGCAGTTATAATTCTTTTTGTTTGATCACAACAGTGTTCTGTCTGTTCATGTCAAAACAGCAGAGTGTACTTTCATGATGTTAGAAAAACGTTACGACGATGTATTTCTTCTGCGTAGTTAGTGATCAAAATCTTACATCCATTGTACAACTTTCGTGCAAAAGATTTCAGAGTGAATGAATGAAATTACTATGCTTCAGCTTTAGAGAACAATATAAAATTCTGTCCAAAGGCCATTCATTCTTCAGGGCAAACGTTCTTATTATGGAAACTAGATAAATCAAACTTTGAAACTTTCTGGGAAAGATACCCTGGTTTGCAAAATCGCATCTTTTCAGGCTACAATTTTAAAACTAGGAAGAAGACGAAAGAGGCTCGTGAAGGGCGAAATGGCGAAAGGATTAAAAGTGGAGGCAAGGGGAGGAAAGTAAAGCTCGCCAAGGAAATATTGTTTGCTCGAAAAGTAATTCAATGAGCATATCAGATTTCCTTTACCACCATGAAGGTACGTACAAAAATCAACTGAAAAGTCATGAAGACTTGGAGAAAGACCTCCAGAGTGAATCCCGCAATCACTATCTGGAAAACTAAAAATATCACTAGCTTCTCTGTGTGTAGGCGTTCGGCAGCTTTAGAATTTGAAAATCAAATAAGGATTTTGACTCGATTAAATGATGTTTTAATGAATTGACCTTTTGCTAGAATATAAGTGATCTTTGGCCGAAGGTGATTGGCGTTTCGATCACAAGATACAAAATTTGAAAAGAAACAACCCATGATTTCTTGCATAGCTGATTTGAACGTGAATTTTAATTTTTAAGAGAACTCGCGCCAATTATATCTACTTTTTTCACAAATGCCTTTCAGACGATCACAAATTGTCATCTTAAAAACTTTAAGGCAGATATTTGTAGTGAATATAGAAGCCTTTTTTTGAAAATTGATATTATGTTTCGAAACTTTGTCACCGCTGCAAAAATATAATTATATATTTTTAACCTTCCAGTTTTTTGACAGACAAAACGAAGTTCAGCGACGTACGAGACGAGACTATATGTGTATAGATATCATTTTTTAAATTCGATTCATTTATGGCTCTATTAATTTAATGTCTCCTACAAGCCTTATAATTATTTATAAATATATAAATTTGCCAAAATTCCCAAAACGACCTGGCCAAAAGCCATGACATTCAATTTTTCCAGTTTGAAATATTGTTCCCCTCATTCCAACAGCTGCGAAGTTATCACTTCTTCGTCATCAACAAAAGCAAGGAATTTCTTCCATATGTCAGTGCACATGTAGCGATTTTATTTTTTGCTGCCACTGCTCGCATCAGCTGGGACAGAATATTATTTTCTTACCCAAAAGAACTAAACAAGGAATCAATAAAACGACACCGTATACGGTTTTTTTCGAGAGCAAAATCTGTAGGAGTATTGAGTTGTGGCATTCACTAACCTGTTTTTCGTTTCATGGTGACCAGTTTTGCGGAGTTTTCAGGCGAAGCGCTCCGGGATCGTTTCGGCTCAGACGAGGGTGGATCGAAAGGGCAGTCGTCTGCAGGCTCGGAGCACTCCGAGGTAGTGGAAGAGTTTGAATCAATAGGAGAAGCTCTTTGATCAACACTAGCTCTCGCTGCAGACGAATTTATACGGTTGTCAAGATCACTACACGAGTTTTGTCTTGCACCAGTAAAAGCCAGCCCTGTTTCAAAACCATCTTGTCGCCACGGATGTTTAGCCGACTCTTTTCTCTTTCTGTTTGGTGAAGGCGGCGAGGACACACTGCATTTGCTGGCAAGTCGTCCGCGGTTCTGTTTGCAGGATACAAGGGAAAGCTAGATAAGTGCTGTTATCATTGTAACCTGTGTGCTACAAGATTCCCGCCTGTTCCAATGCCGATCGGTGAAAATCCCTGGTGGGGGAAAAAATTAGTGTCCTCTTGATCACATTTTAGAAACCCGTGTTCTCCAGCCTTTACGCTTAACGAAAACTAAATGCTTAAACTTAGATACTCACTTCAATAAACATGGTAAAGGACTCGCTCTGTGTTTATGGATATGGAACGCAAACAATTGATTAAGCCGCACAACCAGTATTACATGACGTACTGGGTTAAAAAGATGATGTGGACAAACTTCCGTGGAAAGAACCGCGAGGGCTCATTTATTTTCCGTTTTCCGTTTCACCGTTTTAAAAGACATGTACACTTACTGTTGAGGTAAATAAGGAACGGGATAATCCTACAAATTCCTTAAAACGATACTAAAGGGGCTCCGCGCAAATAAAAATTCCACACATCCTTTCGAGACTCGAATCCAGCACTTCTGGAGAGGAGAAAATGCAAATATTGGTGCGTACGTGATAAAATTCGTACGACGTCTTAAAAAGACAAAAGGTACTCAAGTGAAGCCGTGTTTAATCATGACATTTGACCTAAGCTTAGCACTCTAGGTTCCCAGGGTTTTCCTTTCGTTTTTAAAACCATATGCTACGGAACATATCGGAAATTAGGGTCAGTTTATCTGCGTTTGATAAACAGAAAAATAAACGAGCAATAACCCCCTTTTTTTCTTTTGGAAACATTGAGGCAGGCATAGATTTTGTAAATATCGTAGGCAATGCGTTTAATAGAAAATGTCGTGCTCAATGTTGCGTTTTGCGCACTATTAAGAAAAATTATTGTATACCCAGTCAGTGCCATGCAGCATGCTGTGCTGCTTTACGACATACAGTATTTAGATTTGGCATTTCCACATTTAGCCGGAAACGATTTGATTCGTTCAAACCAAAATGCATTGTCAGAAGCTGTCAAGCTGTTCGTCTGTCAAAAGCCGGGGGCTGTTGCATCCTCCCTTATGTACCAAGGGAGAATAATCAGGATAATTTAAAAGCTCATTATTTATAAACGTGCTGAGCATGAAGCGTGCAAGGCATGGCGATGAAATGAAATCAAAGAAAAGGATTTTTTTGACAGCAAATGATAAAAAAATTCCTGGTTCTCCAGTATTTCATTTTGGAAGAGTGAAAAAGAAACTTTTGTCAAACACGTCAAAGAAATCAGCGCAAAGTCAGGATTTCAACGCTCAAGTTATTTCCCAGATCATTTTAATCCCTTGAATTTTCAAAGATTAAAATTTTTTTTTTTTTCAAGAGGGCACCGTCTCTGTGCAAAAAATTGAGCTGCGTTGATTCTAGCTGACATAACACTGTGAAACTCTTTCGAGCGCTATTGTTAAACTGTCAATTTTGGCGCCCTGTCAAGATCCGCCCTTCGAACCCTTTGATATAATTGTTTGCAAACGCAAGCACAAGACGAACGCGCGAGCAAGTGCCTTTTAAAACACATAAGGAAAAAAAATACTTACCGCTAAGCTGCGCGCGAAGAATATCTTCAGATATTTGTGAATTTGTGGAAATATAATCTTCTTAGTGTCATTGTTCGCAGATTGTCATTGAATTTTCTAGGGCCATTTCTTCTAAACTGCGGCCGTTGTTATCATAATGAGTCGACCCAGAGACGGATAATACCCGGTTTTTATACGTTAATGAATCTCGTTGGACAGAAATTATTGATATTGGAGTAGGAGTTGAAATAAAACCGTCTACAGCTTCGTTTATAATACCTCATAACAAATTCAAACCGCGTAAATGAAAGAGAAAAAAAAATCGCAGACGAAGCATGCAAATTGACCCATCAGCTGTGAGAATGACCAAAGAATGCTTTTGCATCTGTTGAGTAACTTCTGCAACTTGTCACACACGTTCTACTGAAAATAAAGCACATCATAATCAGTGGCTTGTTGTAGAGATAAAAAATATATTTTCTTACCACAGGTGATGAAATTCGGCATCCCAGACAATCACAAATTGGTGGGTGAACCTTGATTAGTCCACGGGCGATCAAGCTTTTCAGAGATTTCCCTTTGTACCGAATACTCCTTTTCCAGTCTTTGGCAGTTTCCCTTCCACTGATGTACTGGAGCTCGTTAGGAGTCAGCCATTCTCCTTGAAATAAAATACAAGGCCCTTTGCTTCCTTGGCATAACTTAGAAACGTAAAGCAATGCAGCGTTCTCTCCGCATTGAATTTCTAAAGGTTCCTCCGTAACCAGACCATCGGCCGGCGTACGGTCGGCGCTATTAACCTCAAACCGAAGTGGTTCGCCGATATTTTTTGGTCCAGCGTCGCTCGGTTCTTTTTTCAGGGTTAAGCTAGACTCTGAGTGGGAAAAGTTTATGTTGTGAGAGGACCCAGCGACGGTAGAATTGAGTTGATTCGGGTTTAAAGGAGGCATCTTAACGGAGTTATCGTTGCTAACGTTTACTTCGTGAGAGTCGGCACGATTAAATCCAGGACCGAGGCTTTCTTGAAGTGTTTTAAGTTCATTAGCATGCGGCAGGCCGTTGCCCGTGTGAAGCGAAGTTACTTGCTGTTCAACGGATTCATTTGTAGACATGTTCACATTCTGGAGGCCACACAAAATCCAGGTCCACGAAAATAACAGTGAAGCGGTCGCGAAATTTCGCGGAAGTAATCATGTGTTTAAAATTTGCGCCGTGTTTCTGTTTTCACGGGGCGACACCGGCGGACAACCAACTGCCGTCTATCGGCGAGTCGCCTGTCGCTCTTTATATTTGACGTGATATCTTGCTGGGAATTCACCCTTCTGATTGGCTAGCGACCTGTCGGAGTGGAAGCGCAAATCTTAAGTTGACCAATAACAAGGAAGCACATGACTAAACAGCGAAGTCTACTATTACGGCATTCATTGTACTGTCATCAGTGCTAAATTCTTGTCTGCCAGTAAATTTTTTATTCTGGGGAAATAAAATTGAAATGTATCCACCAGTTTGTTCGTTAGGATGCGAATTATCACTAGCAAAGATGGCTGATATAATGCTTTTCTAGAAATATAATTTTATATGTTGTTATTCCTTTTCGATCTCCACGAAAAACTGAGAATTACGTCACGAGGACACCGCAAACGAAAGTGGTGGCATCGACGCCCTTCGGAGACAAGCAAACCAAACAAAGTAAAACTTTTCACAATTTTAATTTCGCATACTAGATATTCTTCCTCCGTTAGCAACTGAGAAAAATATTCTTCTCGCCATTTTTCAGCACCTCTGTTTTGTGTTCACAGAGTGATTGTGAATAATTCATGTACACGTACGACTGAGCGATTCATAATCGACCATTGTATTGTACGAAGGTCATGACGTCAGTCAAGCCCACGCAAATTGCCGAGACAAAACATTGAAAATAACCAACAATGCGATAAAATTGCTTCCACTTCTAAATAATGAATTCATCAGCCATTTCAAAAAACGTTAACAACAGAAATAAAACGACAGAGATTTGTTCTTTTTTTACTAAAACAGCGAATAAGATAGCCTTGGCAGAAATATTGTGTTGTAATTTCTGACTGGTCAAGCCAAATGCCGGAACAGAGCATTTTCACCAAAAGCTGTCGGCCGTAAATTAATGCCGCAATCATTCGGCGAAAACTGATGCAGAATAAATAGGGTTTAGTTCTACATACCTTTTTTTTTTAAAGGAAATCATTTACTCAAGAGTTAGGAAATCCTTTCCACATCCTTTATTCACAGAAGTGTCTTGCTGTCATTTTTACGTTGACGAGTGGCTACGCGCACGCGGCAAATCCGACTATAAATATCCTAACCTTTTAGTTTTCAGTTCGCTAGGTTTCGGTTTAAAGGATATGAAAAGTGAATATCATTAAAGTTCTGTGGTTTTGCTGTTTCGCCATGCACGTGTTCAAGCCGACCACTCTATCTGTTGTCGTCGAACAAACTTTGGATTTTAGCCAAAGTTTTCCAGTATTCCAACACTTTAAAATTATTAATCGACCTTCCTTTGGTTTCTGTTATAGTAGACCTAACTCTCTTAGGCCTGTTTCAAACGTCGTGCTACTGCCGTGCTAAGCTGGTCCAACTGTAGCTCGACTGCAGCACGACACTATCACGACTTGGTTTCAGACGTCGAATTTAATTCAGTCGAATAGATCGGCTGTTGCCGAAAACAAAACACAAAAATAAAGAAACGGTTTAGCAAACTTTTAAATGTATTCTAATGTATTTATAATTTATGAACTGGGTTCGGCATGGCAGCAGCACGACGTTTGAAACGGGCCTAACTCTCTTAGACTTGTCTAAACTTGTAAATTGCGCCATCTACGTAGGGACAATTTCATGTCATCAGGTATGATACGAGACCGGTTCTGTAATATCAGTTTTACCACTGCGTAACGGAAACCTCCAATTTAATTTCCACCTAAACTTCACAAAGATCGTCACTATATTTTTTTTCCTGTCTTCCTGAATTTTTTTTAATCTGAGCTTGATTTGTACGTTTGTCAAGTCCTTGACTCGGCTCCCGGACCCTTAACCAGGAAATTCTTCCCACAATTCAGTAATTCTTTATCTCCGGATATCCTATATATTTAATACGGAAACTTATACAATAAGATACGAGTCATAAAATGCGAAATATTAGCTCAGAGTGGTCAAACAAAGCTAAAGGTACACACGTGAAACTTCGCACGAAGAAGTTCTGTTCAACGAAGCGGAAGACAAAGTTGATTTCAGGACGCCAGGCGAGAAATAAGGACAGTACTTAAATTTCTATCAAGGCAAGTTCCTGTACGATTCGGCATTACAATCAGTTCAACGCTCTTTAAGAGGGGGAGGGGGTGTGCAATGTAAATGAGTAAATTCACCCAAATGATTCAATTCACTTCCAAACAGGACTTTGCTCTCTAAAGACCTGAATTTCAAGGACCTCGCTTTAGGGTTTAATCTAACTGTCTGATAATGGACGAGCAGAAGTTAAGGAGGATGACAGAAAAAAGCGAAAAAAAAGAGGCGAAAGTCTGTTCTTGAATCAGGTGGGGAAAATTAGCAAGTCAATATTTAGACCAGCCTTGAACGAAGCGTTTTTCAACTAAAACCAGGGCTATTACTCAATATCAGAATCTTGCCTCGACTATTTAGCTCTGCGTGAAAGACGATTTAGGGCGGGAAGCCGAGATCCCGTTTTAGAAACCTGAAATGAATCAGCTGTGAAAATTTTTAAAGTACTGTATCCATGTGTGACAATGCATATAACTTGACGTTAAGGGATTTAGTGATTGGACTTTGCCTTGCCGCTTTGTTTAACGAAGGTGTCAAAATCATACCGATATAAACTGAGAAAATATTTACCTACTAGGACCTTGTAAAAACATTTACGAATAAACAGAGACGCACGTTATCAAGTCATACCGTTCATGACTACGCAGAAAGAAAATATCTCAAGAACCTTTTTATTTTGTAAATTAGTTTAGCTTTAAGAGAAATCACAGACAAACACCTTTCGGCCTTTCGTGTAATCATACAGGCAAGGAGCTCCGAGTATTTGGGTCCTATATTTATATGTACTGAGTTTCGAAGACACATTAATAACTATATTTATACCGTCACAAAATTAATTTTTGATTGAATTGGTTTTACTTTTTACCCGGGCTGGTATATTTCTCATTTCTCAGACCTGCGTGGGATAAGAATTCCAAATAGTCAGTTCGTGGGCTCTTGATTTCCCCCACTGGTGTGTCATATCTAAGGACTGATAACCACAGCGCATCCACGGCAATTACGGTAAATGTTTTTGTTGCTATTAAATGGGAACGAACAAAAGACTGCTCCATCTTGATAAGGGATTAGATCGCCCAGATCAGTCTCCACTAGAAACTATGAATATCGCAACATTAGACTACTCAATAGCTCTTCAAGACAAACTTTCTGACTGTGTTGATCGAACGTAACTTAATTACAAATAATAATCACTATGGAAGCATTTGTTCAGCAGGAGCGAGTAGTTCCAGCTGCATATCTCCCACCGACGACATTCGATAATTCAGGAAAGTCAAGAAATGAAAAGTTGGAGAAAAGAACTCCCGTCAGCGATAAGCACATCGATAGAGCAAGAAACCATATTGATTGCACAATTAAAGCTAGAACACAGAACTCGACAGCCCTGGCAAACGAGAGATTACAAGTTTCATGCTCCTTCTTCATGTACTTCCCATATTGCATCTTAGCTGGATGTTAAAAGAGTCTATGACAAAAAAGGAGGTACGTGATATTTAGTTTTCTTTCGTCAAATTAATTAAGGAAAGATGATAGGAATATGGTGAACCTCACTGCAAAACTAACTGAATTAGCAACTTACTAATGTACCAACTTGGCAAAATCCTCAGTACCTTCTTTACCACGAAGAAATACATCACAATTTCAAGCGGCAAATCACTTTCCCAGAATTTAGGTCCTACTTTTGGTGGTGTATAACCTGCATGGCTAAAAAAAATCGGGCGTTCGCTTCATTTTGGAATGTGACGCTTCTGTCCCGCTTCACTTCCGGGTACGCTAAAAGCGTCCGAGACAAGAGGGCGGCGTCCCAAGGGAACGAAAGACGGGATGATCCTAGGAAATATCAAATATTAAAGAAAGCACTGTCCTAAAAAGACCGCCTGGATCTTTAAAATCACGATGCCACCATTTCAATGGCCTCCCCGAGGGGTAATGAAAGAAATGGTGAAAACCGAACACTTTCAAACTTTTATAGGCAGTATAGTCTATCAGCCAGTCGTTAAACTGTTCTACAATGAGACTTTGAACACAGATCGCTTTCTTCTCACTTCCTAAGAGAATTCGTATTAGTCACAACCGGGGATGTTTTAAGCACAGCTATTCAAGCATGACTTCCTACTGAACCATTTCTAAATCGCTCAGAAGGTGTCTCTGTCCCTTCAAATGGCCTAGAACAATCTATGCCCTGGCACAGCTAATACGAATATATAAAAATAGTTTCATATGCACTTAAACCTACTAAACAAATGTTTAAGAAGGATTTTATTTCGTGGTTTATGTCTGAACGCGTAAATGATTCATATCACCACGAGAGAATTGGGCAAAACTAAACTGATGAAAATGCAACTTGTTGCTTCCTTCTGATTTATACCAAGCTTTACCGCTAGATATAACACTTCGATCTCGTACACCGTATATCAAAATACGAATTCTCATTCCTAGTTCTTTTACAGTCATTACAATAATATTGAGTTGCCCGGCTGAATGTTAATATCGGATGTCACTATCAAAGGAAGTAGGTTCGTGCCACTCTGTTTTGTTAAAGCCCTCAGTTGTCTCATTCGTGTAAACACTGATCTTCGCAATTGTCTTTAAGTTTGCAATGCTTTAAAATCGATTTACTATGTCTAATATCACTCGCCCCTCGGAACATCTGATGTAAATAGTAAATGATATAATCACTTGATTATACATGGACTACGTTTGTTCCCGTCATGTTTGAGTTGAACGTCTTGCATCCATTGCATGGACATCTTTTGACTCTTTGGATAAACTCAGTTTTGTCCAAGATGCAAAATCTTCTCAGGGGCGCCCAACGATTGTTTTCTGTAAAATATCTGTTCGGAGAAGCAAATATTGCCTAGAATATTCCGATTACTTGAGGACGGCTAAATATTTCTAGATGACCGTTTCACTCATATACAACTTTCGAAGCTTATCTTATAAATTCCCTACGACTTTCTAAGTTTTCCCCCTCAGGTTAGGCTATTTTTCGCCGAATAAAGGGAACCTAAAATTTTCGGACTCAAAAATGTGATGGCGAGAGGAATCAGAAAATGTCTCACTTTCGTAATACGTTAAATTGCCTCTAAAATTTGAGGGAAAATAATACTCAAGCCCTTTTAAGACCCAAATTCCCATAGGATGACAGAGAAAGGATGACCGAACAGATACAAATTTTAAGCACCGCTAAGAATGTATTTCTAGAGATCTAAAAGTACTCTGGACAGCCTAAAAAGTGTTTTCAATGTATTTAGGAAGAAACCGTCATTGGCTGTCCCTGATCTTCTGACCGATGAGACACAGTGATTTATAATCCTCAGTAAATTTTAACCTTTTTACATGGTCTTGCATGTAGTTGGATTTAGCAATCCTGGGGCGTGTACGTTAGTACATATAAGCTTGTTAGTGCTTCCACATTTCAGACAAACGATATAATTTCTACACATGGTGGTCCACTATAGCTGTCATTTGGGCAGTCGACATCAGCGTTAGTAGTTGCGGCTTATTATCTCATTCTCAGTACGCTTTCACCTCGAGCTTTGCTGTTATTCTATCGCTACTGATCGTGTGAATAGGATACCATACATTAAATTTTCCTTTAACCGGCGGATTTCGCGAAAATAAGACCATCACTTTACATAATACTGATCTGCTTACGGAAGTTTGTAGGTCTCCATTCTATGATCTAGAAAATCTCTTTGGACGTCTTGATACGAGCTTTAACTCTTTAACGAAATGGCAGTATAATGATATCATCTCCATGAATCGTATTTTCATTGAGACAGGATAACAGCAATGTTTTTATTGCGACTAAAATTACAATGTTATATAACTATATTGTGACTTGGCAGTTTCTCAATTTAGGCATTAAATAACTATCAAGCAGTCTAACGTTGTCAATTGATCATAACACTGACTCAGAACGAAAATTTCGAAGAGAACACCGTGGCTTAAAAATTTCTTTAAAAGTAACTCATTCATTCCCTTGATAGGAAGGATATCGATTGCACATTATGTTTGGCCTTTAACTGAGATCGTAAAATTGGATTTAAGGATTTAAATCAAAACAGGGCGTCGTTATTGTGTTGTGTTGCTCCTTGTATGGAAGCATTTGATGTTGCCAACTCCTCTATGACAGCGATATCACGAAGGGTGTAATTCTTTTCTTGCTCTTGAAAGCATTATCTTGTACTCTAAAATTGATCTATGTAGTTCCGTGAGGCCTGTCTTTCTTTGACCCAGCATTAAGAAGTTATTCAGCGCCTTTTGTCGATGTGCAAAGAGGTTCCGCCCAAAGGGTCACTCTGTTTAATCCTAAAACGTGACCATTGCTAGTGAAGTATTTAATGATTCATGACACCACAGAGTTACCTTTTTAGTTTCAATGTATACGATTCCTAATTGATGAGAAGTTGGACCCTCAGAGAACGTGTGCGAGAGGTGTTTTGCTTTGATAATGCTTTTGGGTTTTCAGAACGAAGTCCTGGGCTTTTGCCATTTCAGCAAGGCTAATGGGCATTTCTTCCGTTCTGTGAACAGTTAATACAACCATACAGAGCTCATCTGGCATGACCTGGGTAAGATGCGAACACTTTATACCTGTGATTACATTGCAAGCTTGCTTAGAAAGGTAGCACTTAAATAAACACTGCCTTTGTTTCTTGATGTTTATTCTTCTGTCAGTAAGGCAGTCAATGATAACTTCTGGAACATTTAGATAAAATCTAAGACTCTATTACTTAAATCACACTCGTGCTTTCCAAATTGGTTTAACCTTCTGTAGACTTTAAATGTTCCTCAATTTACAAGAAGTGTGCCACCTTGTTTCTGTCAAGGAAATCCTGAAGTGAGACTATTCAAAAGAATGTTACAAGCTCGATTTTTGCGTTTTGTTACAAAGTTGACTCTGGTCGGGCTCGGCTTTGCAGATAAAATACGATCCGGGTAGAAAGACTAGTGAGATTGTTACCACATGGCAGCTTGCTTCTATCTCAGTTCTTTTTGCTGTGCGGTACCAGGCACCTAAAACCGTCTTGAATGTTCAATCTTCAGTTGTGGCTATTTAAAAAAATAGCTACTGCGATACACCAAGAAAACTTGATTTTTCATTTTCCGGTAGACTTTTAAGATCGTCTTTCAATCCTGGATCGTCTTCCTTTAGCCAACGAGAGAGTACAGTAAGTGACTTGACAGTTTATAACTTCAATGCTCCACTGAAAAAGAACCTTCTTTGTCATAAAACAAGTTCCTGTTAGCGGAGCTATGGGTCAGGAAACAATTTAACCCTATTCGCGGCTAGAGTCAATTAAATTAATATAAAAAGATGAAATGCAGTTGTAAGTTTTCAGACTGTGGAAAAAATCCTGCGGTGTAACCATCTTCAGCACTGCTTTCTTGTGCTTTTAAAGGGATGCTATTTGTTTTCCAACATTTTGCCAAATGAATTTGGGAATTGTTCTGAATTTGGACTCGGCATTCTTTTGAGTAAAAAGGCTCAGTAAACCTCTGTCAAAATGATGGATCTTAACGTAAACGCTACTACAGTTTACTTACTGAGTCAGAACTATAACTGTAACTTGAAGACGATGAGTTTGTTGATAAAAAACGTATTACTCGAACATTCAGACAAAAGCCAATAGTTTACAACCTGGAGTGAAGAAAAAATAAAACCGTGGCCTACCTGCTCTCAATCTTTGCCTGCATGAACTCAGTTGCAGGCGGGTTAATAACACTAAGAAGCTCGTATTTTCGATAAGTCAAACGAAGCTGATTCACTGGATATAGAGACCTAATAAAAATCACCCCACAAATGTTTGAAACCCAAATGCAGCAATCATTATCAGAAACGAAACTACGTAGATACCGTTATTTCAAGGGAGCCGAGCGGAGAGGTATGCCCAACTGCGGTCGAAGGATCTCCAACTCTTAATTTTTCTTTCAATTTAGGCGGAGGCCAGAATTTTGTTAGTCCAGCGAGAGTCTTGCTTTAAGCGACAAACACGACTGAATGCTCCAAGCTATCAACACGACTAACTAACGTTTAGTTAAGCTCAGGCAACGCAAACTGAGAAGCAGTTGACGGAATAATTTACTTGCATGTAGAAAGGCTAGAAGTATCCGATTAGCTTGTGTAGTATATAATACCTCGACTGGCTTCTAGGGTGTTATCGACTGGCTTCTAGGGTGTTATAACGGATCCTCGGTAAGTATACCTACTTTGAAAGTCCAAGTGTTAAATGTAACTGTTCTCACAACAAGCAGCTTTGCAAATACAAAGGCGACGCTAAAAGAGGCTTTGATGGCGACGAAGCAGACAAAGGATCGAAGTCGGGCAGCCACCATTTAACATGACAATACCTGTTAGAAGCGTCTCTATCCTTTTAAATCTTTTTCTGTCTCGTTTTTTTCGCGTCGGTATATAACGTCACAAACCAACACTTACGTCGATAAATTTTACCACAACACACACAAAACACAGTGTTTAGATATTGGGTGGGATAAAGCCAAAAACATCCGTCGAGATTCGCCCGATTGGCGGTCTTGCTGGGTAGCGTGAGATTCTGCACGCTGCTGGTCGGTCAGTCGTCTTTACGAATGCGCCGTAAGGGCTGTGTAAATCAGTAATAGCTAGACA